AGCTTAAGTTTAGACACATTCTATAATGCAGAGAGGCCTCGATGAGAGCTGATGCATGCGCAGTTGTCAATAATTACACCAAACTCCAATGAGACAAAGTTGACAAGGGATCCCAGGAATGGAACGGCATCAACAAGCACGCCCATAGAAACAAACAACACCCAGCCGCGCACGCTCAGTTTAGACAGGTAACTTAAACAAGGGGCCTAATCTCTTGCACCTGATGTCACCCTCACACTTCCAAAGGTTGACATAAAGATTGAATAAACAAATGGCACCTTGCTCCATGTTTTGAGGGCATGCGTTCTCCCTTTTAGATTTAAAATAGAGCACTCATACATAACAAGGTCAATCACCAAAATATTTTACCTTTACAAGAAACTTATCATATTTCACAGTCAGATTGTCTCATGTCCACAAGGTCTGTCTTGTTTCTTTTAACAACAAGGCCTTTAAAATTTCAAGTTTCAACCCAAGCCATCATCAGGTAACCCAAAAATTTGAAAACAATTTTGCAACACTTGCTTCAAAGAATATGAAGCTTCCAAGTGCACCTGTCCAGTTAACATGCAGACCAAGTGGTGTGAAGGCCCACATATCAGTAGGCCTTTTGTAAATAATTTATCGGTAAAAGTGATCACCTCGTAAGCCTAGCTCTTAATGGTGACCCTGTAAATGTAACCCTACACATCCAAACAAAATTAGTAGGTTCTGTCATGAAAAGAGGAGAAGCATGCCATGGAAGGAATAGGTATAAATAAAATAACCTAATCACATAAAAGCACTGCAGCCATATAGATCAATAATAGAGAAAAACAGTTATTTCACAACACGGTGCTGCATTACATATAGCTGCGACAGAAAGAGGATTAGATGCAAACAAAAGGCAGATCATAGGGGCACAGATAGGTCCCTCATAAGAAGTATAAGCCAATTTATAAACCTCTCTAGCTACAGGGATTCTGCTTTAAAGCATGCCGAAACTTCTTCCACTCTCTTCCTAAAACACAACAACCACCTCTGCCAAGACCAACCCAAACCAGAAGACACAAGTCACCAAACACACAAAGCAAGGCAAGAACAATGCCAAAACATAGCCCCCAAATCCATGACCAACCACTCCAAGAAGAGGACTACATAGACATGGATCTGAGCTCACCAGCAGCATCAGAAGCGGCCACCACCACCGCAAGCTTGCTCTGCTACAACAGTGCCATGGCAGCCTCGCCACAACACTCGCGAGAGTTTGAATTCCACATGTTGGCTCCACCAGACCTGCGGGAGCCCGTGGCATCCCCAGCAGATGAGCTCTTCTACAAGGGCAAGCTGCTACCACTCCATCTTCCACCACGCATCCAGATGGTTGAGAAGCTACTTGAGAGTGCAGCTGAGAAGGGCTTACTTTCAGCAAGCACTGCCCCAGCAACACCATACCAGTCATGCAATGTATCAGCAGCAAACTCATGTTATGCCAGTGGTGAGCTCAATGCAGAGTACTACTTCCATGAGTGCATATCCACTGGTAGTGATGCTGCCGAGGAGGTGTCAGCCTGTGAGAAGAAGCCATGGTCCAAGAAGCTCAAGTTCATGAGGCACCTCAACCTCGGTCTCAAGCTCAAGGCATCAAAAGCTTATCTGAAGACAATATTTGCTACTAAAGGAGGGAATCCAGATGACAAGAATGGTGTACCTAGAGCAAATGAGTTGTCCAATGCACAGTTCAATACCTGGAGGAAGAACCCATTTGGCCATATCAGAAGCAAAAGGTACATAGCCTCACCCATCAGCAATAGCACCACAGCAGGAGGCAAGTTTAAAGAGGACGAGTGTGGCCATAGGAGATCCTTCTCCAGCGTCATTATCCGATACTCATCATCAAACAAGGCATCCTCTGTTTCATCATCGTCATGTTCTTCGTCAAATTCATCCTCCTTCTCAATTCCAAGCTCAAATGACTCTAGTGTTGGACCAGTGCTGAGGAGGAGTAGCAGTGCAAGTTCAGAGATGGACAATCCAATTCAGGGCGCAATAGCATACTGCAAGAAGTCACAGCAGCTCGCCTCAGTGAGGAAGAGTGCAAGCGACGCAGGATTCCGTTTCATGTTATCATCAGCATCAAAAATAGCAGCAGAATCCGAAGACGCTGAGGTGTATATTTGAGATTACCCAAAATACAAATGTAAATTCAATGTCCCCCAATAATTCTGTACTCTTTTGAACTTGGGCTTTCTGTAGATATGATATATGTCTGATATTATGGCCTTCAGAAATATCAATGTAAGCAATTTCTGTTTAAGGACAAATATTGAAGAATTCCCTCGATTTTTATTTGTCTTCAAAATTGGGATGTAGCATTTAATATTTTCTCTGGTCAGTGTCTTTAGCCACATTCATGTGCTGTGACCAAAATGAAAGGTGCTAGGGCACAGCCAATTATTTTTTAGTTAGTTGTGGTTTATACTGGTTGTATATATTCACATATATAACAGTTTCTAATTAAAGCCCACGTGATTCCTGTTTCTTGAACAAATCACAAAAACCATACTCTTGAAAGATATAGCTGCAGTAACTATGCAAGATCATATCTTTACATTAATTCAAAATGCCCAACTTTGACAAAAAAAAGCTTTTCTGGAAATTGGACATCATCAATTGGCCTCCATATTAAGATATACCATGCATTCATGTCAACCAAGGAACACGCAAATGTTACAGCAGTGACCTTATTTTGAAAATTTTAAAAAGACACTGTAGCCTACACTTAAAATGTTAAAACACGCAAGCATGAAGGGCAAAATCTTTTTCTTGCTGTGACAAACAAAAAAAGGAGTATCATTTATATAGTACATTCTATAACCTATAATTACATATGCATACAAACTCGTCTTTAGAGTAACAAATCATCTAACAACAACAAGCATGGAATTATTCACCAACACAAAGGAGGGGGGATCAATGCGGGCATGAATTTCATTCCCACCAATGCCGGAATAAGCTCGATGGGGGTCCTCGTATGCACTGCAAGAAACATTAAATTTAAATAATAATAAATCATAAAAATGTGACATTTCCACTTATTTGACTTGAACCTTATGTTTGCTGAAACAGTTTTCAGGCTTTCTTTTCTTCTACTAGTTACCACTTCGGATTTCGAATTTCTCCTAGCTTGATTATCCTGTGAAGTATCAATGAATGCTCATTGTGACAAAAACAGCAGTGTAAAAGGTTCCATCACAAGTTAGGTAGGTCAAGGACACTATACAACAGAAGATGAATTTCTAGGATAAATCTAACAGCCCCAGCTGTCTATCTCTGCAATAACTCTGTTTGTCCTGTGATTTTGTGTGTAAGTTGGAAAATGTAGTTCTATTTGTTTACTCATCTTTGGAAACAAGAAAGCTGCAGAGCAATGGACAAAATCAGCTTTATTCCATCATATTGAATTTTCAACTCAGTGGTTTTCCTCATGTACATAACTAGCAATGCTGAAACTACAATAACAGATCAGATATAATAATATCAGCACTGGGATCACGGATTGTCATTAAAGAATATTGCTTGCCAGAATCCATCCCAAATCGAAACAAAAGAAACACAATCAAGGGAACACTACATTCCTTAACTTCAAAGCAGAACATATACTGATGAAATGGCCAAATGAAGACAGGAATCCTTAAACTAAGAGAGCATGTTGACAAAAGGCAGGGCAAGATTAAAGCAAAAGGTAAGCAGAGCTATCCACTACATTGATGATGTTGAGCAATGTTAGGACTCAGAGCAACATAATAGGGCCTACTTTACACCTGCCTACCTCTTAGGCACCAACAGTTAGCCAATGTTTGCATAAGCCAAATCTTATGCACCTTTGCATGACTCATCAAGCTGCCTCCTTTCGCCTTTCTAGTCCTGCAAGAATTTTGAGTCTGTTAGGACGGCTGTGACAACTTTTACTACTCCCTCTCTCTTCTTTTTTTTTTTTTTGAGGGAAATTCCAACTCTCTAATTAGTAAGCAAAGTAATCAGTGACAGACCAAATGAGTCTTTTATCCCGTCAGTGATACCTGCACCGAAGTATACCAGGTCATGTGCATCCCAATGACCATTTCAAATTCGACAAGGTGAATATCATAAACAGTATCATCACAGCTTCAGTAAATATAGCCACATATGCTGTTGCTGACGTGATGAGTAGCCAGTACACTTCAGTGTTACATTACATTAATTAGTTGTGGTAGAAATTTCATGTGTTCAACATAAGACTGAACAGTTCACGAATACAGAAAGTAAAATAACAAAAACAAAAGTACATCCACAATGAACTGGTAATCCTTAATATCAATCGGTTTCCAGCCATGATCACCAAATACTCTCTAACTTGAAAATAAACTCTTGATTTAGCCGAACAGGTTATTTGCTATGTCCTACAGTTGCAGTTTAGAAAATTATAACTGAAAAATAACATAACTGATTAAAACGAACTAAAACCCTGTCAAGACCTGAAGCTGGATCGCCAAAGTAAGGTACAAAGTGCAGAACTAGGAATGAAACATAGGAGCACCAGGATAATAATTGAGACTTTGAATCAGCATACCAAATTACACACAGGTGAACGCACATTGAATGACCATGGCATTACTTCTCATGCAATCTGGAAAAGGGGAGTTGCACATAACTTAAAGTACTTTCAGGCTCAAGTATCTAGAATCAGCCCTTGGCGCTTTAAAATATGAGCAATCCTCAGAAGGTAAAGCATAGAAGCGACTCTCAGGAAGAAAATAAATCTGTAACTCACATGTACAACAGATTGAGCAATAAATCTGTAACTCACATGTACAACAGATTGAGCACATTGGGTGCCATCAAATTCGTCAACTGCAGGAGCCTTGCACAATGGGCAAGTTCTGTGTGGTTTTGTTGTTACTGGAGAAATTGTACAATCAACAAATAAAGTAAGCTATTGTATCTGTTAGTACATACTCGACTCCAGAGACAAACACTCTTTACAAGGCATATACTGGGTTAAGTTCAGTATCTGAGAGCTCAGTATTGTCATACCAAGAGCTTGAGCCACTTCTTCTTGACATCTTCTCCTTTTTTCTAATCTTCCTTTGGCGCTTTGATTTCACCACATAGTATGTCATAGTACCAAGTACACCAGCCATTGTGACACCACCTATCAAAGATACCAATATTGCTGCCCACTGGAAATGGCGGCCTAGCACAATATAGCAGGAGGCAATGAAAGATATTGTAGTACAAACCGATGCTATCCACATAAGCTTGTTGATCACCTCAACAACCCTTCGCTCAGACTTGGTTTCTCCCCTGACAACTGTTATTTGAACTACAACCACTGCCAATGATGTAAATAGAGCTACGGCATTGAAGATGAAGAATATCTTAAAGGATGTAGCCTGGACAACAACTGCAAGTCCGTTATTGTCATTTCCACCAGGTACGGTGAATATAGCTGCAAAAGCAACTGTTGCAAACAGCACAGCAACAACAGTTACAGAGTTCGTAGCGTTGTTGATGCCTTCTCTGTGCAGCTTTCTGAGTTCTTTAGCAATGCCATGAACATTTTTGTTGGTTTTTCTTGTTTGTTCCAGCTGTGTGTGGACATCTTTCTTTATCTCTGTCACTGTCTTCCGTAGCTCATCTCGAGGCTGATTCAGCTCCCTAGATCTGAGTGCACCATGTTGAGATAAAATATCCTTAATTTCACAAGACTCCTCACATACTGGCAACCCTTCAGCTATATCAAAGGCAGTCTTGTGGTCTCTGTTCAGTGCATTGACATGGGTATCTGGTAGCCGCAAAAGAACACTAACTATCTGTAGAAGATAAGACAAAGAGAACATTAAGTCAGACAGAAGTTGAAATATAATAGTTAAGTTAGGAGCAAGTAATTTTTTATCATATCAAAGTATCAAACAATCTTATGTATGCCGTGGTGAAATATGGCTGCCTTGAAATTTCAACAATATGATTAACAAACTAGTACAACTCTACTCTAGAGCACAAATTTGAACAAGATGTTACTTGATGCAGCCTAAGAAAAGATTTGCACATTTTGTGCTAAACTATTTGATAGTCTGAAGAATATTTGGTCCTGATGTATTTATTTGAATGATAAATCCACCTGAAAGTATAATACTGACTTTTCAGGTCACTTGAAGAGGTGGGAGGTGACCACTGACAATTGGACTTGATATGATTCAAATTTCACTGCCAGTTTTCCCGAGAGAAGTAAACCCTAACTGATTGTAGATGATTTAGCAGTGAGGTATAAAGAGTATGTCAAATTATTTTAATCTCCAGATATGAAATCAACCTAGGGGCTGAGCCAGCTGGCCTAGTCTGAGTAGCTATTTTATTCAGGGGATTTCTTTAAAACTGGAAGAACCGAAGAAGAGTGTGGATGCTTGTGGAACAATGCACAGGATTCTCTAATAAGATTATAAGATAAGAAAGGGGACAAAGCAATGATCATTAATAGGTATGAGAAACTATCAACAAAAACTGCACATATTGTTTTCTGCAGATGGAGCGTCAATTTAAAAAGTTTATCATTATCTATTGTAAATACCTCTGCTCTTTTTTTTCTTGTTGCGACATGCAAAGCCGTGTTCCCATTTTTATCTGGCAGCATTACAATTGCTGGATCAGCATCCACTAGGGCTCTAAGAACATCACAGCTTGTACCCTTTACGGCCATATGAAGAGCTGTTTGACCTTTCTTGTCATTTCTTCTTGCTAACTGAGGATCCTTCTCAAGTAGCGCTTTGACAATTCCAATATGTCCCTGTCGAGCAGCAAAATGTAAGCCATTTTTTCCATTATCTCTGGCCATTTCCACCAATCCAAAGTCATCTTGTTCCAGCAATAGTTCAACAACTTCAATATGGCCCCTCATAGCTGCTGATATAAGTGGAGTAGTATTTGCAGGGCCAAATGTTTTGGCAAGCATCCTATCATGGTGTAGCATTTCCTGCACAACAGCTGACAAACAAGCACTCCTACTTGTTAGGACAATTTGCTCCAATGTTAATACACCAAACAGGTGGCATGAAGATACTTTGTAGAGTATGTCAACACATAGGGAATATACAATCCTAAATTTTCCTGGATATAAGAAAATATAGGTTCTATTAGCTTCACAATTACCATGCACAAATTTGTTCCAATGGCCAAGGGCCACAGTTTGATGTTCCTATGCAACTAAAAACATTTCCTACCATCCCAAAAGTCCCAATTCCAAGTCGCTTACACACAAAACTTATAAGAAAAACTACTTCATAGCAATCTGTCTTCAAAAGAGCCTACTGTTTTTCAGAGTGGTTACTATCTGAATAGTAATAGTAACCACTCTGCTTATAAGTCCACACATATTGAAGAGTAACAGTTTGGCTTGCAAGTGCACACATATTTAGGCACTGAGTTCATAGGTAAACAAGAGGGCTAGTTTTCGATCTCTTCGTTAACGGATACATGAACAGATAATCATAACCAAATTATGTATAAAATAATGAGAAGTATGTGGTTGTGTCTGGCCATATGCCCACATGCTCTATGTTTTGTATCATAGTATTTGTTGCCTAGAAGCAAAGAAAACATTAAACAATATCATTTTCTCACCAGTACTGTGTGCTAGTATGTCATAGCGCTCCTATCAAAGTAATCATGCACTGTGCAACTACTACTATTTGGTTCAAACTGAGAAGAGGCAGTTTACTTGTCAACTGATTTACCAATTGTAGCATAAGTTATCCGAGAAACTTCTTACTGATAAACTCGCAGTTGCAAAGCTCGATTCTCCAAATGTTATGCTAAATAGATAAAAAACTGTAAGAGAGAGCGCTAAAGGATTGACACTCACCATGACGCCCTTCTCTGGCAGCGACGTGCAGCGCGTCGTACCCCGACCTGTTCTTCGCGGACAGGCCCTCGGCGTCGAGGTGCCGGAGCAGCTCCACGACTACCTCGAGGTGGCCCCTCTCCGCGGCGGCGACGAGCGGCGTCTCCCCGGCCTCGTTGGGCTCCGCGGCCACCGCGCGCCGCGCCGCCTCGAGGTCCTCGGGTCCCTCCACCGTGGCGGCCACGGCCGCCGCCGCCACACACAGCGCGCGGCGCAGCGCCGCGGCGTCCCCGCCCCGCGCGGCCACGTGGAGGTCGGTGTCGTTGTGCCGCCCCGTCACCTGCCGCACGTACCGCCCCCGCTTCCCGCTCCCCGAAACAGACATCACCTTCGCCGGGCGGGCACCAGACGCCCCACCACCACCATCCTCTGCACAGAGAGCACCCCACACAAAAAAATCAATCAGCACCATGCCGCGCCAGACGCTGAGCATCGAACACTTGGTCGACCACCACTCCATCGCCCGCCGGACATACCCTCGTGGATCTCGAGCGACATTGCGATAGGCGCAGTTGGGGCCCCGTGGCGTGAAAGGGTTTCAGGTTTGGGCGGGGCGCGCGCTTTAAGAGGAGTGAGCAACCGCGACCCGCGAGCCGGCCGCGGCGGCGTCGTCAAGGAGGAAGGCGGGAGGAAGGAGGGGGGTGGCCGGGTGGGGGAGGAGGAAACCGAGACGGTAACGTCTCCTTTGGCATTTTTGGGGAGCTTCTGTGGGGAGGTTTTGGTGGGGTACGGGCGGGAAGCGGAGGAGAAATGGTGGGGCCTGCCGGCCAGCGACCCGGGGAGCGGCACGAGGTGGGGCGAGTGCCGGAATGCGGAAGCTGCGCGGTGGCTTCGTGGAGTGCTGTGCGCTTGCGCTTTCACTCGGAACGTCGACGTCACGAGAGTCCAGGAGGGTGAGTCCAAGTCGAAGGGTAGGAGACTAGTTTGTCACGTCCTCTGTCACACCCACACCAGAAGTTCTGCCACCTCAAAATCATGCTCGTTTTCCTGGAACATTAAATATAGATGAAAAAAATCAATTTTTTTGATTAATAAATAATTATCCATGTTTGAACACTAATTATCAAATAAAAGCGAAATAAACCCCAAATTCCAAATTTTGAGTCCTAGTCGAAGGGTAGGAGATTAGTTTGTCACGTCCTCTGTCACACCCACACCAGAAGTTCTGCCATGTTCGCTTTTCTTATAAGCCATATTTTTCGGTTAATAAATAATATTTTTCTCTTACAGTAAATTAACAACAGTATTTTTAGTCATGGCTTATCAGCCAAAACGAATAGAGCATTCGTGGGCTTATGGCACGTTCCGTCTTGTTTTATTGGATGGCGACCAACCTCAAAAAAAAATAACGATATATAATTGGCGATGGTTATTGCGCGACAGAATAGCTGAGAATACGAGACACTGATCGATTGGTAAGACGACGACCAGTTAGTCCACAATGCAAGACGCTGATTGGTAGGTCGTAGACATGACCATACTCTCACTCTCACTGTTTCACAGTAACATTAGTTCTAGTTTCTACTAGTACTGAGGAAATTTCAGGACCTCAGGAAATTTCTTGCGGCCGTGAGCCGTCCGCCCGTCCGGAGAATATAGGCTGCACGCCACGGAGAATATAGGCTGCCCGTCAGGAAATAACGGATCGAATCGCTATTTCTACTATAAGGCTAATTTAGAGTTTCTGCTAAAGAAATCAGCTTTCAACAGTTGTTCTATCTAGGATTCCAAATTTAACTAAAAAAAGCGAAGCCTCCTCGCTTGCCATCCGCTGCCTCCCAGCGTGATTTGATTGTCCTTGCGAAAGAAGTCATCTGTCTCCACCTCTAGGAATGGATAACCTGGGTGTCGAATGGAGCTCAGCGTCGGCGTGAGCGATGTCGCGGGACGGGTGAGCTTCGAGCGAGTCTTGGCATGGCGCGTTTCCTCGCTGACCTTTATGAACACCACCTATAAGGTGGATAAATAAGAGGCAGCTCAAGGACATGGTCTCTGCTGGGCGGGACTGCGCAAGCTGCCGGAGGCCAACGTATGCTCCGCGCGTGGCAAATCGGAACGGCCCAAGCAATTAATAAGTTCCATGTAGGAAAAGCTTAGGAGGAATCAGCTCAAAGCACAGAGACGGACGAGAGTAGCTGCCAAGTTGGTCAGTGCTTGTTGCTGTTTCGAATGAAATGTGCCAACCAAGAGAGTTTGCCAAAGATGGCGTGGCGGGTTGAATGTTGAGATAGCCGCCTGTTGGAGTAGTCTAACGCGTTTCTCGAGCTAAATCGAAAATTTGGAAAAATAGCCATTCACCTCCTCCTCAAATCGGAACGGCCCAAGCAATTAATAAGTCCAACAAAACACAACAACATCGGCTGGCCTCGATCCTCCTCCTCCCGACCCCGTCACTCAACACAGCTCCTCCTCCCTGGGAGCGGGAGCGAGCCGTCAATGGAAGACACAAAGTCTCTTCTCCCGTAACACACCGCGGACTCCTCCTCCGCCTGGCCGGGGGCGGGTGAGGGCTTTGGGCACGCCATCGGCAGGCTGATCTAACTCCAGCCCCCCCCACAACTGGTGCATTAATGAAAATATGGAGATGGTGAGGGAGAAGAAGAGGTGGAAGAAAAAAAATAGAGAAAGAGAGGAAGAAGAAAAGACCAGCCCCCCCCCCCTCTCAATCCTATTATGCATCCGCCACTATATCGGCGACGTCTACCACGTCACCACCCTGGACGGTATACATGCGCGTTTCCCTTCGCCTATGCACTCCCGTTCGTATGGCACATTGACGCCCTGGCCGTATGGCAGATGACGGCCCCGGGTCCCTCCGAGAGGGATGCCGACGGCGGGAGCCGCTGTGGATCGTGTTCGACGTGTCCGAGACAATCCAGCTCTCCTCGGGCGTGCGCGTGTCGTCCTACAAGACCATCGACGGGCGCGGGCAGCGCGTGAAGGTGTCCGGCTGGGGCCTGCAGCTGAGCGAGTGCGAGCACGTGATCGTGTGCGCGCTGGAGTTGGAGGGCGGGCGCGGGCACGACGCCGTCGCGGTGCAGATCAAGCCCCGGTCCAGGCACGTCTGGGTGGACCGCTGCACCCTGCGCGACTTCGACGACGGCCTCGTGGACGTGACCGGCGGCAGCACGGACGTGACCATCTCGCGCTGCCACCTCGCGTCGCACGACAAGGCCGTGCTCATCGGCGCCAGCAGCGCCCACGTCGAGGACCGCTGCATCCGGGTCACCATCCACCACTGCTTCTTCGACAGCACGAGGCAGAGGCACCCGCGCGTCTGGTTCGGCAGGGTGCACATCTACAACAACTACACCAGGGACTGGGACATCTACGCTGTCTGTGCCAGCGTTGAAGCACAGGTAACACAAAGTGGATTCTAATTATTTGGTAGTTCATCACTGATTCTGAAGCACCGCCCGTCAGTCTATCGCTAATACATAACCGCTGTGTGAATTATGATTTTGTCGAGCTACCTCAGATTATCTCCCAGTGCAATATTTACGAGGCAGGAAAGAAGAGCGAAGTCTTCAGGTACAAGGAAGAACAGGTAATAATACGGTACGTCAGTACACCTACCTTGAAACGATTGTTTTATTTTGAATTTAATCTGTTAAAATCTCATATGTCGCTTTAAGTACCACCTTAACATTTTTTAGACTGACTACGCTATTTTCTTGTGAGAAATTTAAAAAGTCCAGGAATTTAGCTATTTCTCTGCTTGGGGCATCATTGTTGTAACCGTTGTACTCCTCCGACGATCACATTCATCTTAATTAATCTTTATCTCACTTTTAATGAAGAGTATCTTTCTTAATTGATCTTTATATTCTTCTCCTCGAAATATGGCATGAACTTTACTACCATAATTTCGATAACTATTCAGAAAGCCTGTAAACGAGGAGACACTTATAACTTACTTCATTCACATGATTATGTCATGTAAACAAAGTTATTTCTCGATCCGTTTAGGAGTATACTTTCCTTATTTCACTTGAAGAATTCAACGAGGTCTATCATTAGCTATACTTTTGCAAGTCACGCTTGCATCTTTTCTTATCCTTTTGGTTAGTATTGACTATGACGATGCATTTCTATTGTGCCACGGTCAATGCTCGGACAGCATAATAGCTACCCAAACTTCTCTCGCTATGCGGGATACAAAACATGTGAATCATCACAAAACTTCTCCCGCTATGCAGGATTGACTAGCATAAGTACTATGACCAAAACTTCTCCCCATGCGGGGATAGATCTATACAAAACTGAGTCATGACGATTAAAACATTCACTTATACTTTATTTTCCAATTAAATCTTTCGTTGGTTCCAATTTAATCAGAAAATTATTAAACTAACAACAACTGTCCTGAACTGGCTTGACTCAAACCTTTTCATTCACATACCCTAGCATTGTAGCCCGTTGGCATGCAGCCGAGTAATTTTGTCGGCTAAAAGTAAAACATGCAATGTGCTTCTGCATCAATTTCACATCATCGTTAGGCAGAAAATATAATTGATGCATTAAAACTTGAAATCCATATAACTACTCTTTAAAAATAAATTCTCCCGTTGGTTCGAATTTAATTAGAAGATCGTCATCTTCATCGCAGCGGAAACTTAATAATGAAATACATTCTTTTAATTCAGGAGCATTTCTTGGTTCTTATGTACTCTCGAAAAATTCACCACGTTGGTGTAAAATTTATCAGAGATTTAAACTTCATACTTAAATTCGTTATAATATTGTCATCATCAATTATGGTCAGAAAATGACAATATCATAATCTTACTTAAACAATAATGGACTACTCCTCTAATTTAAATGTTCCCGTTGGTTCTAATTTAGTTAGAGGATAAACATAATCATAATTTGTTAAATATAACTGCTCTTCAAATTAAATTTTTCCGTTGGTTCGAATTTAATTAGAAGATAATAAACTTTAAACTTTATAGCAGAAACATGAAAAATTCTTTATCTACTTTTCAGAAGCATTTTACTTTACTCATCTACTCTGTAAAAAAATTATCCCGTTAGTTCAAATTTTGACAGAGATTGTACCTCAAACATAGCAAAATTTGTCAAAAACTGCTTCTAAAAATAAATAAAAAACCTAAACCATTTGAAAATGCTCATTTGGCCCTTGTCATGCGTATAGCGGTCTGTGACCAAATAAGCCTCGATGGCGCGTGGGCAATGACACTGGCCCAATGCGGTGTCTGACGCTCCCCCCGCCGCCCAAGCGCAACTTTGGGCCTAGGTCATGAATCTGCAATCCGACCTGGGTTCATTTTGGCCCGATGACGTTCCAACTGTCGGATCAGATCCGACGACTGTCTGCGCGTGTTGCCCGATCAAAACGGCGACCTCAGCTGCTCTTGTGAAACCCTAACTCACTCTTCCCCTTCCCCATCTTTTCTCATCCCTCAACGCCCTGAGCCTCGAGCCCGCACGTCGAAAACCGTGTGGCGGCCCGGCAAGATCTCGGTGAACATCCCGCG